CCCCAAAACCCCAAAACCCCACCGTCTTAAATTTAAAAGCATAAAAGATATTAAATTCGACTTATAAATTATAGAAAGAAACAGGAAAGACAAGTTTCGATACTCAAAAGCATTAATTAATGCACTTTAATTACAAACTAGAATCTTAAAATTGATAATACCAAATAATAAATATGTTTTATATTACCTTCAATGTACCAAACCCATAATTCAACCTCTTCGTAAGTTATTCATATATTTAATGCTCTTGGCTAATCAATTCTATATTAGGGCGTCTCTAAAAGTCAACTAGGTTTAGCCAAAAAATAAGATAATGGGTCTAATCACTCTAAATCTAGCAAAATTCTAAATATATCCGAAAGTCAAGGTTAAACCAATCATCTCCAAAAAGGAAAAACTCTACGCGGGTAGAACAATAGAGTAAATGCTGCTGAAACCTTTAACAAAAATAATCTTTAAGAATTAGAAGAACATATCTAATTAGAAAAAATAATAAAGCAAGCAATGGAGAAATCCAATAATAACGGGCAATCATCTACAAACTCAGGAGCAAAGCAAAAGAAATTCAAATTTATAGGAATCTCAAAGAAAGAACTCAGAAATTATAGAAGCTAAGAGGTTATAGGAAAAATTAAAGATGCTAAGGATAGAATAAAGAAGAAGTACGAAGACTAACTTATGAGTCTCTCGAAGAAGGACTCTATGAATAGCGAGATAGCAATAACAACAAGCAGCATACATCATCCTGTAACAGTTGCTCATATTCCTGGGGGCATAGATGTTGGAGTATTTTTTGAGAAAAGAAATGCTAAAATCAATGAACCAGTAGAGAACATCTTCAAGTAACAAGAACACTAAAAAGATTTTAAGAGTAAATTTAGATTACAGTCTCAAAATCGAAACAATATAAATATAAGTTCCTCTAACGGCAGTAGCAGCCAGCCCTCTCTTATCAGTAATTATAAGTTTCCTGGAGCATAAAATCTTAATGTTCCTTAATAACAAACTAAATTTGGGGCATTAAAAGAGAAAAATATGAATTACTCATAAAATCATGCTAATATTTAAGAGAGTGGCTAAAGTAACTTCCTATAACTGATAAGTAACAATAAGCATTTGGAGAAAAAAATGAAAAATGTAACTATAACTGAGCCTTCCATTAATGACGAAGATGCTGAATTACCAAAGCATCTATAAGATACTGATCAAATTAACCCTACTTAGAGGCCTAAATTAATAAGACCTTTAAATCTAAACTTCAAAGTATCAAGTTTCGAAGAAAATAATCTAAGCGTAAATCCAAATCAAAATCCAGAGAAAAAAGAAATAGTGTCTCAAAGAAGAGGAAGCAAACTTTTGCAACTTGCATAACAAGAATAAAGATTGCTGCTTGCTACTCCTAATGGATTGGCCCCCCTCCCATGCACTGATGAGCCAAGATCAGCAACTCTCAGGAAGTATGATTAATATAAAAGAATGCATGAAATATAAAATATTCCATCGACTAGGAGAAACAGTTCAATTTATTTAAAAGATACTGTATAACTAATACATGATGTTGTTGATAATATCAATAAAACAAACCATGCTATGCAAATGAGTCCTGGAGAAGAGGGCAATAATAAGCAACTTGAACAAGAATTAAGCAGAGTATTCCACGAGAACAAGAACAATATGCATACAGGAGATGTGACTATAGCAACTAATAAACTTAAGAAAAGATTCAAAAAAGAGACAGTACAAAAGTTTACATCCAAGACCTTTGATTTGGAAAAAAATGAAATATAAGCCAAAATAAAGCTACTGCAAAAATGAAAGAGACATTTATGTGAGAATATATCTGTGCAAATCGAATAAGATTCATTTAATGCATTGCTAATTTATTATTCTTAATTTCCCTTACTTTAAAATAAAGGTAAAATCCAGTAGGGGGTTTTGGGGTTTTGGGGTTTTGGGG